TCGCCTCGCAGGAGGGAGACGTGGAGGTGCAGACTGTGATCGTGTGAGGGGTGGGAGTGCTCGCCTGGGCCCTGGGGCTGCTCACGGAGCCAGGGGGACGCTCATGGGAGAGGGCAGGCCCCCAGACAGGTCTGAAACGGGATAGTGCAGGTCTGAAACGGGATAGGCCTGAAACAGGATAGGACAGGTCTAAAACGGGATAGTGCAGGTCTGAAACGGGATAGGACAGGGCAGGTCCGAGGTGTTCTCAGTCTTAAACCAATTCCAGGAGTTAAACCCTTGGCCTGGTCACGCTGAGGAGACTGACAGGTCACAAGTGGCACTCAGTATTCTGTACAGCAGCCTCGAATGAAGGAAGATCCTTTGGGAATCAGCCCACTCTGCCCACCATTGGGACGGCAGTGGTCTGGCTTTTTAAAGGATTCAGAAAGTGTAGCAAGTATGTGGGGTCTAACAAGGGATTATTTCAATATATGCATTTAAAACAAATTGAGAAAACCAAACCTAAGGAGTTGTGGTGTGTGTTGAGCACCACTGAAACACTCTCATGCCTTTAACCTCACTCCTTCAGGCCTCCCAAGGCACGGTACTGCAGTATTTCTCTTTTCTTTGGTATCCTGGACAAGTAGCCTTATGTACTGGTCTGTGAATGCATCATTGTACCCTGCAATGCCAGCCAGGCTGCTCTGAGAGCCAGCCTGGGGGCTGGAAAGCCATATTGTATAGGAATTTGGTTTTTTTTAAACCATATTTGGATTTTTTGCATATTGTACATATTTGGCATGTAAATAAATACATTTTTAAAAATAAAGTTATTTAAAGTTCTTACTACATTTTTTTCCAATTTCTCTTCTATTATCTAGAAGGAGGGGTGAACAGGGACACTTTAATTTCCTTCCTGAAGTTGATGCTCCAAAGCTGCAGCAGGACATGGTTTCTGCAGGTAAGATCCTGCCAGAAATCATTCTTTCAGCTAAACACACACAACCTATTGTAGTCATTGTTAACAGTCATGACTTAATTTTTTCCCAAAGAAAGATACAAAAATATGCTGCTTCCTCAAAATTCACAGGAGCTCCGTGTTAGCCCTTCTCAGAGAGAAAAATCCACATTAGGAAGATGAACCAAATCCTTATTCAGGGGCCAGGCCTGAGCTGGCCCTGAGTCTCACTGAGGGAGGGAGCTCCAGTGAGGCACCAATATGTGAATTCTGCAGTAATCTTGTTCCAATTCAGTTCCAAATCTGCAGTTCCACAATCTTGTTCCACAATCTGCCTGGGGCAGCCAAGCCCACTGCTGAACTGAAGTCTTAAAAAGCATTTAAAAATGCCCAGAGAAACAAGGACATCTTCATGTTTTCTTCTTCCTTTCCAACGTGGTGGGAGGGTTAAAGATTTCCTTTAAGTTCCTCCAGATCCCTTTGGAATAGATGTTTCTGTAGACGAGGGGTCTGTCATGAGGCTGTGAGGGGACAGGGGGGGAGCCCCCAAATCTTCGGGATTTGCACCATTCGTTGGTGGTCTGGTTGGTGAGGGCCAAATACAGACTGAAGCAGCAATATCCCCCCAGCACCAGGGTGAGCAGGATGACAAAGCCCAGCATGAAGACAATCCTGGGGAAAGTCAAGAAAAGGTGCTGCAGAGAAAGAGAAAAGTAAATTAAAAAGATGGAACTGTATCTGCATTCTGGGGGGTGTCCTGCTTTAACACCTCCACACAGGTACCTCAGGGACTCTCAGCTGTTTCCTAAACCTGACTACATCAGCTAGTCACTGGGATGGGAAATCTTTCTCTATGAACTAGACATGACCTGAGTGACAGATCGCAGAGAAAGGAACCTGTGGGATGGGAAGTGCTGTGAGGAAAACCCCCCATTTCTAAAGGATTCAGCAGTGGCAGCTTTCTAAATCTAGTTATATGTATAAAACAGATGCAGTCTGCCCCAATACCTTGCAGTCTTCCCAAAACCCTGCAGTCTGCCCCAAAACCCTGCAGTCTGCCCCAAAACCCTACAGCCTGTCCCAAAACCCTGCAGCCTGTCCCCAAACCTGCAGTTTGTCCCAAAACCCTGCAGTCTGTCCCCAAACCCTGCAGTCTGCCCCAAAACTCTGCAGTCTTCCCAACACCCTGCAGTCTGCCCAGCACCCTGCAGTCTGTCCCAACACCTTGCAGTCTGACCCAAAACCCTACAGCCTGTCCCCAAACCTGCAGTTTGTCCCAAAATCCTGCAGTCTGTCCCCAAACACTGCAGTCTGTCCCAAAATCCTGCAGTCTGCCCCAAAACCCTGCAGTCTGTCCCAAAACCCTGCAGTCTGTCCCAAACCCTGCAGCCTGTCCCAGAACCCTGCAGCTTGTCCCCAAACCTGCAGCCTGTCCCCATGCTGGGGGAACAGGACGCGGTTCCTGACAGCAGAGAGAGCCAGAACGTTGCNGCCAGCTGCCCGCAGTCACCTTGTCCAGGTGCCCATGCCAGCCTGTCCTGCCCCACTGGGCATTCTGGGGGGAGCTGAGTGCCAGCAGCTGGGTCTGGGCAGGGATGGATGGCACCGAGCCAGGCCTGCACCATCTCCCCAAACTGAATCACAAAATGAGCCCCCACCACCCACAATTCAGGGAAATTATTTCCCCCAGCAGGATCCGTGAAAATACCTCCAATGCCTCGGATATCCCCTCCGCCATCATCCCTGGGGAATTATGCAGGATTACTTCCCCTCACAGAGGGGATTTGAATAAGTGTCCAAATCTTCTTCCGGCCCAAGCCCCTCTGTGGGGGGCACAGCAGGTTCCCCCCAGCATGTCCCTGTCCCAGCAATGCCTGTGCCAGTGAGGAGAGCCAGGCTGGAGCCGGTTCTGCCATCCCCAGATGGATGGGCATCATCCCATGGCATCCCATGCCAGCCTGTGATGGATGCCAGGGGCAGCACCACGTTATGGCTCCCCCAAACAGGGTCACAGCCCCTGACTGCCCCTGCCCCGTGTGAAAGGTTAACCCCAGGGCTGGGTGAGGGGCACCATGGATCTGGCAGCTAATCTGGCTTTGATGGAAATGAAATATTTAGCTCAGAGAAAAGATTTACCGTCTAATCTTAATGAAATGAAGCCAAGAAAAGAAATAAAAGAGGTGCCTTGCAGAGCAGGTTTCCCAGCTGTGGGTGCTGGGGCAGTGCCAGGCTGTGCCTGATCCCAGCTGCTGATCCCGGGGTCTCTCTGATGGATTCACTGCCAGGCAAGGGCTGGCCCTGCCTGTGCTCTCACTGCGGGTGTGAGCAGATCCAGCATTTCTGGGTTCAAGGAGCTGTGATTCAGGGTGATTCCAGCCCGTTCAGTCTGTCTGTGGCTGAGCAGGGGTCTGGGCTCTGTGCCCTGGGGCAGCACCCGGGGCTGGGAGGGCCATGGGGNTTGGCGGCCCCGATGCAGTTGTTCACCCACACGCAGTGGTGGTCAAAGCGGTGCACGCACGTCCTGCACACGCCTGCAGGAGGCAGGGGCAAAGCGAGAGCCTTGGGGTCAGAGCCCAGGAACTCAGAGCTCTGAGTGCCCTGGAGGGCTCCAGCCCCTGCCCGGGGGGCTCAGAGACCCTCCAGACCCCTGTGCTTTGATTTTGACCCATGGGGAATTGCTCAGTTCTATCCCCTGCTTAACCACCTTTATATGAAATTACAAGTTACCACCTTTATATGAAGAATTACAAGTCAAGAAAGTTTAAGTAGAAATAATAGTTAGTGTGTCACAGGGTGAAAAAGAGATTTTTGAGTTTTTAGAATGGGGGCTAGGGGTGCCAAGATGGAGGAATTTGGGCGTGCCCTGTCCTTTTTCCTTCTCCTTCCTAGCCTCCATATTCTGGGGGGTGCTGGCACTTTTGGATTGGTTTGAGGAAAAAGCTCACTGTCTAACATAGCTGATAGGTATTGGGAAGTTATGGTAAATAATGTACACATAGTTTTTAGTATAAAAGATGACACCAGTGTGCCTCAACACAACCTGCCAGACAGACCTCAGCAGGCCAGGGAAAGAATGTTATAGATGAGAAATAATAAACCACCTTGAGAAGGAGAACAGAGGAATCCTGACTCCTTTTTTGACTGCCAGGCTGGAGAAAGAGGCTTATACATATCTCAGAGTCACTGTGACCAGCAGTGATTCTGAGATCTTGACTCTTCGTTTTTAAGTAAGCAGTTGGATCTTTAGGTGTTTTTTAAGCTGGAAATATGTGGGAGTTGCTGTCAGGGTTTAGCTGGCAGCTTTTGAAGCAAATAAATTCAATTGTGGATCCTAAGAAAAACAACATATTCCATTTCTTCTTTTATTCACCAAGACTGCAGCTCCAAGGCTTTGGTTTTTCTGACAGAAAGCACCTGAAAGGCAGAGATTGGGGCTCCCACCTTTATTTTAGATGATAAAAAGAGGTGGTGGAGTTCCCATCCCAGGCAGGGTTCCAGTCAGGCTGGCAGGGCTTGGAGCACTCTGGGCTATTGGAAGGTGTGGAGGGTGACACGAGATGGGCTTTAAAGATCCCTCCAGCCCAAACCAGTACAGGGTTCAGTGACTGTGAAACAGAAATTCCTGATCTGAGGTCCTGACAGGTGACAATTTCTGTCATCAGCTGTTCCTGGCCCTGAATTATCCCTCAGAATTGGTAATTTCTGTGAGAAGAAACAGCACCCAACCAGCTCCAGGGATGGGCAAACGCAGCTGTGACCTGGGACCCCAGGAACACAAAGCCAGCCCTGTGAGCCCTGAGCTGGTAACAGAACAGCTGTGGTGGGAGCTGCAGCTCCTGGGGCAGAATTCCTTTGGGAAGCTCTTACTGCCATGGTTATCAAGGAGTCTCAGATCCTTACTGCAGTGCTTGGACCTGGCTGGTTTCTCCAGGCTGCACGTGGGACACACCAGGCCTCTCTGGAACAACACCCCATCATAGGCATAGACCTTAGCCAGGGATGCAGCGTTGGATTTGGTCACTGTACCTGCCAAAGAGACAGGGAAAAGAACTAAACCATGGGATTTGCAGCAGGTTTTTGTGTTTTCAGGGAGCAGGGTGTGATCTCACCAGGGTTGGCCCGGGAGCAGAGCAGGAGGCAGCCCAGGTTGGCAGCCAGCAGCAGGTAGGGCAGCAGCAGCAGCAGCAGGTGGAACTGCAGCTCCCAGCAGTACACAAACACCTCCCAGGTGTACTCCCCAAACACTGCAGCCTGCAGGGCCACGTGCAGCACCACAAACAAACAGCTCCTGCCAGCAAAGGGGACAGTTCATACCCAGCATCCTGATTAACAGGTCAAGTACACCCAGAGGTGATCAAAGACTTCCCAAATGCAAGGAGACGCCTCTTTTAGGTTTTCAGGCCAGCTTGGATTGCATATTAATAGTGTTTTCTCCATCCACTGCCTTCTCCTTCTCTTCTTCCCACATATGCTCCTTTAAATATGTCAGCTCAATTCCCTGCTTTATTCACATGTACTTTGGATTTTTTCCCCTGTCAGTACAAAGTCCTATAATCACTTGCTGCTGACAAAATATGCCACAGCAATAGGCCACAAAACATTCTGCCAGAAGGCATTTGCTGCTCTGAAAGCAAAGAAAATAATCTTAAAAACTCTGCCATAATAGCTGGTAGGAAGCAAGGGTGGCAGGAGGTGGGCAGTGAGCACCAGTTCCAGGCTATGTGGAGATTCCCAGTGCCCCCAGCACCCTGGCAGTGCCACCTCTGTGTCCCAGGCTGTGTTAGAGCAGGGCAGCAGCAGAACAGGCACCAAGCCCCTGCAGCACCCCCAGCACAGCTGCAGCCCTGCGAGCTGCTGTCCCCAGAGAAAAGGTGTTTGAATCCTTCCTGAGGCACCCGAGTTCACAGACACACAGAATGCACCTGAGTCCAGCACGCTGCTCTGCAGCTTCCCCCCAGCCACCTGGCCAGCCAGCCTGCTGGGCTGCCACTAATGGGATTGGAGGCAGAGGATGGAGATGAGTCTGTCTGGCTCCATCTGCAGCTGCCACAGAGGCTGTGGTGATTCCTGTGGGATGCAGGATCCCACCAGTGCGACCAACATCTGCTCCTGAGCCACATTATCAACGTTTGTCAGTATGTTCCAACATTTCAGGGCTCCACCCTCCAAACAACGAGCGAGGAAGGCAGAGCCAGCAGCGTGGCAAACCTCAAAGGGAATCCTGACAGCATCCCAAATGGAGACAGAACACCTAAGGATAATACCAGAGCTCTGATGGTGGCAGGAGATCCCAACAGTAGCCAGAAATAAGAGTGGAAAATAATTCCAAAGGCATGAAAGTGCAATACCTTGTGTGGAAGAGCCTGTGCAGTGCCCGCTGTGCCACCCTCTGCAGCTGGCTGGGGATCAGCAGTGACAGCACCTGAGGGAATGTAGGAAATGGCAGGGAATGTAGGAAATGGCAGGGAATGTTACGTGGCCATCCCTGCTGCCTGGGGAGAGCTCAGATTGAAATCCAAGTCCCTCCTCCCTCAGCTCAGGACCTGCACAGCCCCAGCACTGGGGAGGAGGCTCCTTTTCAGGAGAATCAAAGGTGGGAGAAGACACCTTCAAGACCACGAAGCTCAGCCATAACACAGAATCACAGAAGGCTGCACAAGCCCTTCAAGCTCCTCGAGTCCAACCTGTGCCCAATGCCCACCCTGTCCCAGCCCAGAGCTCTGGGTGCCACCCCCAGGTTTTCCTTGGACACCTCCAGGGATGGGGACCCCAAACCTCCCTGGGCAGGTCCCATTACTGAGCCCCCTCTCTATGAAGGAGGAAGAGAGGCAGGAATGCTGCTGGGGTTTTCCACAGGGGTTCCACACTCCCCCCAGGCCCAAACAAACATATCTGGGTTAATGTGTGAAAGTTCTAAGGAGCTTAGGCTGGGAGTGGGGAGGGGCTGGATTAAGCAGGGGATAGAACTGAGCAATTCCCCAGCTACAATATGCTCCATCAGCCCATCTGACTGATCAGGGGGGGATCAGCAAAGGGATAAAGCTTGTGGCCTCCAGAAAAGAGAGGGGGAAAAAAAGAGCCAGCCAGATGCCCAAAAATGCAGTTTGTGCAGCTCCATGGCTCTGTGTCTAATTGTCCTTTCAAGCACAACTGAAGGAAGAGCTTTCCTGCTCATGGAGTGAG